AGTATTGGGTTTCTTAGACTGTACTGCATCTATGCATACTCAAGAGTAGTAAGAATGGTTTGATATCACAGTGTTCCTCTAAGTCCACTTGCAACTGTTAGGAATTCCATGGCTCAAAGGTCTTCTAGAGCCAAAATACATAAGTAGGATCAAGAAAATGTCCACTTGAGATTTCTGGGAACTATGACTTCCATAACATCTCATAAGAAGAGACTGCAGGAATCTGTCACAGCCTTGGTGTCTGCCAGGGCTCGGGCGACTCCCATCCCCGCCCCTCCCTGGCGCTCTGGTGCGCACCTTCCCTGGCTTGGTGTTCACAGCTGCACAGCCCACAGCCCTCGCCAAGGGGAGCTGCCATCACACGCTGTTTCCCGGACACATGGACATGCTGAAATATGTGCTAGTGGCCTGACCACAGGGGTCCCCAGAGCAGATGGCATCAATGTTTAAAGTTGGATGTCCCCAGTCACACACTCATTGTGAGTTTGTGCATGTGTGTGCGTGCGTGTGTGTGCATGTGATTCGTGGGCCCTGTGCTGGAGAGCAGGCATTTTCTTTAGCAACATATTTCACTTGATGTGTAACTTTTTTTTTTTTTCTTTTTGGTACTGAGGGTTGAACATGGGCACTTAACCACTGAGCCACATCCCCAGTCCCTTTTTAGTATTTTATTTAGAGAGGGGATCTCACTGAGTTGCTTAGGGCTCCGCTAAGTTGCTGAGGCTGGCTTTGAACTCATGGTCCTCCTGCCTCAGCCTCCCCAGCTGCTGGGATTACAGGCGTGCACCACGGCGCTGGTTGGATGTGTAACTTTTAACTGTTTGGACACGGTGTGCCGGCTTCTCCCAGTGCCGTGTTCTGGGCACTGCAGAGTGGTGGGTGCTCTGAAGTATTCGAGACACGGACATAGAAATGGACTCCACACAGGAATGTGCAAACAAGGGGGGGAAGCCCAGGTTCAACGCTGCTGGCACTCCCACTGCCCCCCCCCCCCATTTCCTGCTCTTTCTCCTGTCTCCTAGGTCCCTTCATTTTCCCCTTCCAGGCCTCAGTGCACCCACTGACACCTCAAGCACTGTGGGAGTCCAGCAGTGCTTGGGACAGGCAGCAGGGACGGGCCTCTGGGGGTAGATATTCCTGAGGATGAGCAGTGGGAGCAGGACTATTCCACAGGGTGGTGCCTCCACGGTGTGCCCCGGGAGGACAGGGGCATGTCTTATAGGCAGCTTGCTTTGAGGGGCTGTTTTTCTAGATATCATTATTTTGTTTAGAGTAGTCAAGTCCTCATGCTGTTTAGCTCAAAGTTACACTCGCTTGAGATCTTCTCCATGAGACCCAGAGTCAATCACAATTAAACAAAAGCTATTCCTTGGCTTAGAATGAGATGTTCAGAATGCATTAGTCCTCAACTGATACTTTTAAAAAAAATATTTATTTTTCAATTGCAGTTGGATACAACCACCTTTACTTATGTTTATGTGGTGCTGAGGATCAAACCCAGGGCCTCTCACGTGCTAGGCAAGGCTCTACTGCTGAACCACAAGCCCAACTAATATCTTAACACTGCCAAAGTGCTGATGTTTCATTGGAATCACTCGGACTTAGTTGGGAAGGTTCTGACTTTGTAGCATCTGGAAGGTCAGAAGGCATAGTGGAGTAACGTGATAGGATACATATTTTAAAGTAAATGAAAATCATACTAAATGAATACTGTGCCTTTGGGTGGCTGAGATTGTAATTCTGGTTAGCTGCATCGTCTGCTGGAGCTTACTAGGATGATTTTATCACACAAAACTACCGAGAGGTGAATAAAGTGGGGTGCAGCCTTGGGTGGAATAATCCTGAAGTGGTTGGTCTGGTTTAACTGTAGGCTGATAAAACTAATTCTGAGAATCTTTGAGCTCAGTGAAGACTTTTGTGTCCCTAGCCTGCAAGCCTGAGACAGTGAGCTAAGCAAGAACCACGTCACTCCCGTCACTCCTGCGGGGGTGACAGCTCTGCCCACAGACATACAAATGTAGACGAGTAGGTAGCATTTACTTAAATGAGAATCCAGCCCTGTTAAATGTCATGCTGCGCAGGTTGAGCACAGAACACATGTCAATGAGGGGCCTCTGGGTTAGCTGGTGACTCTGCAGGGCGAGGAGGAATCAGCAGGCTCATTCTCCTGGTGCAATGCTCTTACGTGCAGCCAGCAGTGCCCAGGTCAGGCAGGTGACCCAGCTAGATCAAAGGACAGTTGGCTCTCAGGGTCTGCAGCCGGGCATTCCAAAACTCTTCCCCCATGTTGCCCACTGTCCTGTTGTGACTTTACTGATGGCCAATGTAGACAGAGGAAAAGGAACATCTAAAAACAATCTCTCTTTTTTTTTTTTTTTTTTAGAGAGAGAGAATTTTTTAAATATTTATTTATTTATTTTTCTTAGTTCTTGGCGGACACAACATCTTCGTTTGTATGTGGTGTTGAGGATTGAACCCAGGCCGCATGCATGCCAGGCGACTGCGCTACCGCTTGAGCCACATCCCCAGCCCCTAAAAACAATCTCTTAAGAGTTACTTTTCCTTCTGAACCACATGCCAGGCATTGAGCTGGGAACACCACCTTCACTGTTCCATCTAACCCTAGATAACCGAGGAGGATGGTCAGTATTGCTGTGCCTGTAAGGAATGGGTGGAAAAGTTGGGATTTAAGGAGGTTAAGAAACCTGCCCAGGTCCACCTGACAGCAACACACTGTGCTCCACGCCCAGCTGCTCCTGGAACAGGATTCACAAATGTGATAAAATTGGGATGCAGGTAGTAAATCAAAATGCATTGAGATACCATGCCGCACCTTCTGGGATGCCCATGATTTGTTGTTRTTGTTAATTCAGGGAAACTGAAACCCTCATTTGTCACTGGTGGGAATGTGAAGCAGGTACAGCTGCTGCGGAAAACAGTTGGGCAACTTCTCCAAAAGGGAAACAATTGCCATACAACGTAACAATGTATCTCCTAGGACACCCTTAAGAAAACTGAGAATATGTGTCCACACAAAAACCTATGTGTGACCCTTCACAGCAGCAAATGATCCCAAAGTGAAAATACCCTGAATKTCCATCAGCTGATGAATGGATAAACAAAATGTGCAATGGAATATTATTGAGCCACAAAAAGGAAAGCCATACCAAGACATGCTACAACATGATGAAACTTGAAAACTTTATGTAAAATTAAAGAAGCCATGGGGCTGGAGATGCGCGCTCACCTGGCATGCATGCGGCCCAGGTTCGATCCTCAGCACCACATACCAACAAAGATGTTGTGTCCGCCGAGAACTAAAAAATAAATATTAAAAAAAAAAGAAGCCACATATCGTACGGTTGCGTTTTAGTGACATTCCTAGAATATACAAATTCATAGAGTCAAAGTAGATTAGTGGGTGCTGGGGGCTGGGGTAGAGAGAATGGGAGTGATTGCTAGTAGGGGTAGGATTTCTTCTTGCTTGGTTGAAATGTTCTGGAATTAGTAGTGATGGTTGTACAGCATAGTAAATATACTAAAATCCAACGGATGGTACACTTTCAAATGTTGAATTTTATGTTATGTGAACTTAGTCTTAGCTTTTTAAAAGGCAAGCCTAGGGTAGATTCAGGAGGTCCTGTAGCCCTGGACTACAGGGTCTAGGTTTTATCTGGGGCACCAGGAAGCCAGTGAAAGTTTCTAAGGACAGTGACATGCTTGGAGTGAAGCCAAACCGTGTTAATTTTAGCACATGGGGGTGTAGAATTCCAGCTGCCTCCTCTCCCTGCCTCCTGGTCAGGTCAGTTCTCCTATGGGGAAGCTGTTCTTTTCTGTTTGGATCCTAATAAAGCCTGTCTGTTTTAATCAAAACCACTCTTGATATTACCCTTCTGACCCACTTCAGCCAGTGCTCTCCTAGCCATTTCCCTGAGGGTGCCTCGCCCCTGGTGGGGGGGCGGGGGGTCATCTTAGAGTCTCCAGAGCCTCTTTCCCCTCCTCCTCCTCCTCCTCCTCCTCCTCCTCCTCCTCCTCCTCCTCCCCTTTTCTTCCTTCCATTTCCTCCTCTTACTTTCTTCTCCCTTTTCGTCTCCTCCTTTTCCTCCTTCCTCTCCTCCTCTTCCTTTTTCTTAGTTTGCCATACAATATAGCAATGTAGTTGTAGGTGGACAGAGTGCATTTATTTTCTTTGTTAATTTCTATGTGGTGCTGAGGGTCGAACCCAGTGCCTCATGCATGCCAGGCGAGCGCTCTGCCACTGAGCCCAGCCCCAGCCCCTCTTCCTTTTCTTAATTTAAAATCATGGACTTCTAAAAATATCTCATGGATCTCTACTTTGCCCAATAATGTCACCTAACGCCATATGAGAACTGTGATCCCTGGTCTTCATTCTCCCTCCTTCCTCCCCAATCACACAGGAGGAGCACAGGAAAAAGGAGCCGTAGCCCAGGTTCTAACGGCTGCCTGTCCTGCTCACAGCCTGAAGGACAGCGCTCTCTTTTGTATGATGCTGCCCAATGATAACAGGGGTAATCCCTGCTCCCCACCGGCCCTGCGGGGACTGGGCAGGCTCCCCAAGGCTTGGGTCTGTGCCACTGCACCAGCTGCACACCCAGCAATGGCCAGAGCAGCACCACTAGTAGGGAGTCAAGGTCCTGCGTGGAGCAAAACCCCGTCTTCAGAAGTCGGTCTCATCCCTCCCATCTTGACTACTTTAAGGACACACTGAAAGCTTTGACATAAGTCACTGCTTTAAGTGGCAAGATCCTTTTCCCAAAGTCATTTGGGAAATGTCCTAGTAGAAGCCACTTCCAAGAAATGGTCTGAAGTGCCATAGTCAAGAAGGGACAGGGGCTCTGGGGATTTTGAGGTCAGCACACAAATGAGCCCTATCGGAGCTGTGGTGGGGACTTCCCAAGAAGCTCCGCCTGGCTGAGTCACCCTGTTGTTTGACCTGCAGTCCTCCCAAGCTGCAGCACTTGGCTGCTGTACCCAAGAGTGGAAAGTTCTCAGCTCCTCTGAGATCGCAAGGTAGGTTCACTGGGGTTAGACAGAGGACCCAGGACGGGGTGAGGGTGGAAACTGTTCTCCTTGTACATTTCTAGATCTCTCCCCTTCTGATTTAGAATACCTTCTATTCCACAGCCTACTATATAAAGATTTAAAAAAGGAAGAGATGTCTTTACTCCTTAGCGTTGATACTATACAAGCTTCAAGTTCCACAATAGGCAAGTTCATGTCTAGGTTTAAGAAAATGTGATGATGACTTGAGAGGTCTTTAAAACGTTAGCAATTAGGGCTCGGGTGGTAGCTCAGTGGAGAGCACTTGCCTGGCATGTGGGAGGTACTGGGTTCGATTCTCAGCACCACATATAAATAAATGAATAAAATAAAGATCCATCAGTGTGTGTGTGTGTGTGTGTGTGTGTGTGTGTGTATATATATATATATATATATATATATAAAGTTAACAATTAGATGCTCAAAGAAGGAACAGTAACTGAAGTATCTTCTTGTTGAATGCAACTGACAGGTGCCACTCTCTGTGAGGACTCTGTCTCTGAGGCAGTGCCTGGGTCAATTCAGAACCAGATGGGAGCAATGGGGGATGAAGAAAAGACAGACAGACCCACAGACAGAGGAAGCTGGAGCCAGGGGTTCTCCATCCCCTGATGAGGGAGGATGGACCCAGAGCTAGCTCAGCACGTTATTAGACAAGTTCCATCAAAAAGGTTATTTGTGGGGCTGGGGTTGGGGCTCAGCGGTAGAGTGCTCGATTAGCACATGCAAGGCCCTGAGTCTGATCCTCAGCACCACATAAAAGTAAATAAATAAAATAAAGGTACTTTTTTAAAAAAAGTTATTTGTGGGAAAGTTCAGCAAAGCAGGCAATCTGAGGGATGCAGGGCTGGTGAGACATCAGGGTCATCTTGTTATGCTTAGACTTCTCTGTCCCTGGGAGCTGGTGCCCAAGGGATAACACTGTGTGCCTTTGCAGTAGCCTCCTCTGGCCAGCGCCGTCATAGCAACTGGGCCACATTGACCACCCCCTTTGCACAGGCAGTTACTCAGCCCTGAGGGAGCCAGACCATGGTTCAAATGACCGCTCTGCACAAGGCAGCAACTAACTGGCATTGAAATCTGGATGCTGATGCTTGTATCTGTGAGAGTCCCGTGGGCTTTGGCCATAGTTTTTGTGGAACAAGTTGAAAATTTCACTCTTTGGCAAACATGCACAAAGCTGTGTTTAGTCACACTTCTTATTGTAGAAGTCGATGGATTTGCTACTTTTCCATAATATTCCATTATTAGTTGCTCCTAAAGTACCCTGAGTTGTAGTCCTGTGAAATGGTATAAGTAGTGGTTGAAATAAAGATTATTCTGGAAGGAGAAAGCCCCCTGTCCTTGGGATTTGTTACATCTCACACAGTGACATTGGTGGGACCGGCTCATTCCATCAGAATTCTTTTGGCATTTGCTATGCTAGCATAGCATCGACTCCATGCAGGATCCCATCATGAGGAATGGCTATTACAACGTGGTGGCGACTGTGCTGTTGGTCATGAATTTTGAGAGAACGAGATCAGTGCAAGATCTCTGTGGCCTCTGTCCAGCTGGTAAGTACCAAATTCCCACGTGTGTTGATGTGTCCTGTGGAAAACATGACTCAGTTAGCCTGGCAGTGAGGGCTGGCTCCTTTTAATGACCTTGTGTTCATGCACTGACATATGTCTATTGGATGCTACACACCTGATGAGTGAGCACAGCCAGCTTATTTAACTCTGTGTCTTGACCTGGTCATCCGGGGACTCCGGCTCTCTCTCCTGCATTGGAGCGGGGCTGCAGAGATAGGGTAGAACAGTGCATGGTGTGGCAGGACCTCACGTCATGCTAGTTTGTAGTTTGTGCGCAAGACCCTGTGCTCAGCCTGGGCCACAGCAGAGAGTAAGCCGTTGCTAGTCGGCTTGGCAGAGTGTGAAAAGTCAAATGTATTCAAATCCTAGTAGATCCATGAAGGATATTAATCTTCTCCTGGATGCAGTCATATTGATCTCTTGGATCAATCATGAGAAATCATTCTTTCTTGTTCAATAGACAAAGGCAAGTATTTTCCTTGTCTTGATTCCTTTGTTACATCATTTGTATTTTTCTCTAACTCTGTGATTATGCTAAGGGAAATCTTGCCAATGTATAATTTTAAAAAGTCAATAAACAAAATAATGTCTATCACTGAGATGTCTAGAAGACAAACAATGCTTTAATCCTAACTTTCTTGTGAACTTTATAATGCTTTGGGTGGTGACTGTTCATTGCCGAACATGTACATCTGTTATCTGCCTTTTAGGAACTTTCTGTGGAAAAAGCAAGAATCAGACTTGCATTCCCTGTCCTTCCAACAGCTATTCCAGCACAGGCGGACAGAGAGCCTGCAACATATGCACGAAGTGTGAAGGTGTGTGTTAAAGGCGCATCCTTCATCTGGGGGATGGGCTGGGGGCAGACTCTTGTTCCCCACTTTCTATTCCATCTCTATCTAATATGTCAAGTACCAAAGGCATGGAATCCTCAGTCAGTGGGCAGGTCGAATAAAAGTACTTAGTGTAGAAGCGATTACTTATGGGGCTTTTTAAATCTCAAAGGAAATGTTCGCTTGACAAGAGGGAAACTTTCAATTAGCGAAGTGCAAAAGTGTCTTTATGGAGGTTCAAGAGTAGACTCGCATTGGGAACGTGGGGAGGAGCGTGGGCATGATTTTTGCTGAAGAACGTGAATTTGCTTCCTGGATGTGGAGGTCAAGTGGAACAAAGCACTGGGGCCTTGCAGGTTACCACAGGGTCAAGAAGCCGTGCTCCTTCACCAGCGACACAGAGTGTGACTGCATCTCAGGATTCCACTGCTTGGGGGCAGGATGTGCCATGTGTGACCCAGATTGTAAACCAGGCCAGGAACTGACAGCAGACGGTAGGTTTGCTCCTCCTGTGTCTATTCCAGTTTGTCACGTAGAGCAAGTGTATCATGCAGAAACTTTAAAGTAACATGTGATGATGTTCAAGTTCATGATATCAACACCATGTTTTAATTAATAAAATGATATATACTTTTTTCCCCCATAAATAGAAATGATTTGAAATCAGGACATTTGCTAATAGTCAGAACCATGCCTTTTTACACATTTTAGATAAATGCAATACCCTACGTACAATTGGTGATCTCAGGGTTCTGTTTCAAGAACTGTTAAACAGTGCAAGGTTATATTAAGTTAATGACTTTGCCAATGCAAAGGAGGGTTATGAGACGATGAAATGCTTCCATCTTTCTTCAAGGTTGTAAAGACTGTAACCCTGGGACATTCAACGATCAGGAAGGTGGTGTCTGTAGACCCTGGACAAAGTATGTATAATTTCACTTGCTTACACAATAGTGTCTGTGTTAAGTATTTGAAAGACAGGACTATTGTCCTTGAAGCTATTTACCCCTTTGGAGTGTAGACCTACAGTGATGTGCTGATAGGAACACTGTGACAGCGCCGTGACTTGACACACAGTGGGCATTCTTCCAGAAACAATCCCTGGAGCGTTGAGATCAGATTCGCCAGGGGAACTCTGCCACCCTCTGCCTTGCCTGGTCTCCTCTGCTTTCTTCCAATCTCTTTGCTGTCTCTTACCTTCTGCACTGATCGCCCATCTCAGGTGGTCAGTGCCAGCATTGAGAGTGATACAGAAGGGCAAAGCATGCTTCTTCCCCTCCAGAATGTCCCCCACGGGCCACAACAGGGGGTACAGCAGCCAGTAGCACATGGAAGAATGTAACTGTGGACCTGGGATCTGGCCCAGGGCCACTGAGACTGCCTTCACAGGCAGTTTGTGTGCCTAGGACAGCAGCCTCAGGGGCAAGGATAGGACACTCCAGAGACCTGAAACTGGCAGAGCAACGCGGTCTGTGGTCTCTGACAACCAATACCTGGGCCTCACATTCTATATGCCTTTCTTTTTCCCATTTGATTTTCTCACTAGAAAATCATTTTAATTATAATTTTGCAGTTACATTTTTATTGTATTTCACAAATGTGCTGATTGGTAACAGAATAGAATGTCYTTTTTTTAAGGTCTTTTAACACAAATTGATCAGAGTATTTACATGTGTGTGGAAAAGTGGATTGAACTGGGTTCTGGAGGATGGGTGGATTGGGGATAGCTTAAGAGGAGGGAAAAACAGATCAATGATGATGGTGATGATGGTGATGGTTGTGTTGATGATTATAGTGATGATGGTGATGATGAGGGTGGTGGTGATGATGACAGTGGTGGTGTGATGGTGTGATGTGATGGTGATGATGGTGGTGGTGGTGATGGTGATGGTGATGATGATGGTGGTGATGGTGATGGTGCTGGTGATGGTGATGATGATGGTGATGATGATGGTGATGATGATGGTGATGATGATGGTGGTGGTGGTGGTGGTGGTGATGGTGGTGGTGCTGGTGATGGTGATGGTGATGATGATGGTGGTGGTAATGATGATGGTGGTGGTGATGCTAGCTACCATTTATTGAGTGTGTCAGGCAGGCAGAAGCGTGTGATTCATCCATTTGCTTTTCCTATCAGTCCTTCGAGCATATACTATCCTTACTTTGCACATGACGAAACTGGGGCTCAGAAAGACATCATAACTTGCTCAGAGTCATTCTGTAAAGTGGCAGGTCCAGGCTCAGACCTTGCGAGTCTGAAGCAAACGCTAGGAGTGCTAACCTTCTCTGCACCTTCACGTGTGCCCACGATGTGTGACTATGAGTAAAAAGTGTGTGGGTGGGGAAGGGGAGAGGCCAACAGGCACAGCAGCCTGAAGTGTGCTGTCATTGAACAGAGGGAGCCTGGCATGGATCGCTAGCTTGGGAAGAAAAACCCAGTTCGTAAGTGAGTGGGGTGAACTTCGTGCATCCTTGAAAGCTGAGTGAAAGCTGAAGGAAGCCAAATGGTCAAGTGGAACTTTTTCCTGCACACAGCCCCCCTCCATGACAAGTCCACTTCAGTGGGTGACAAGTATCAAAGTTTTCATTGGAGTCCTCTGTAACTAGAGTAATCATCTGAACTCTTTTCCTTGAACTGTCTAAGCTGTTCACTGGATGGAAAATCAGTACGTGAGAAGGGGACCAAGGACAGCGATGTGGTCTGTGGACCTGCTCTGCCGGACATCTCTCCAGGTAACTGCTCGGTGACTTTGCCTGTCCCTGTGAGGGTGCAGGACAGTTGTGTTAAAACCAGGTGAATGGATGGTGTCTATCCCGTTTCTGTGGACAGCCCCCCAGTGTTGTGAGGTCTCCAATGCCACCCTACAGGCACCCGCAGGGGCCTTCCACCTGCCTTGGGATCCACCTGCTGTTCTGGGGCATGTTTCCGTCTGAGACACGTTAGTACGCAGGCCTGCTGGGACTCATCCCAAACCAGTGCTGCCCCTTTGTGAGCACCAAGTAGGGGGCACAAGCCCCCGTTTCCTCCCTGCTGGAAAGGCCACGCTGCTTAACTTCTGCCGGCCTCCAGGGAGACGGCCCAGTGTTGGCTCTTGCAGAGTCACTGGGTTTACTAAGCGCCAGGTAGGGGTGGCCAAGGCTTCTCCCGGGCTTGGCGCTTACCTGCCGCCCCCCCCCCCAGCTGCCCGCGCTCACCTCTCCTCTGCTCCTTGCCAAGGGCGCTCTGCGCAGGTCCTCACCTTCTTCCTGGCGCTGACCTCGGCCGCGGCGGTGTTCCTGCTGATCTTCCTCGTGCTCCGGCTCTCCATGGTCAAGTGGAGCAGGAAGAAGTTCCTGTACCTATTCAAACAACGTAAGGCCCACCGAACAGTATGGGACACCAGCGCTCGGGGCCAGGCTTTTTACTAGGAAGGAAAAGGGGATTTTTAAAGTTATAAAAAGGCGGTTAGATCAGCACAGTGGTTATCAGCAGGACAACGCCATCCCCAAGGGGACCTTCTGCCAGCTGATGGTGGGGAGGGGCCGTGGGAGTGGGGGGCCAGGGTTCTGCTGAGGGCCCACAGTGCCAGGTGAATGCCCGACAAAGAATGACCCAGGCCCGAATGTCAGCAGTGCTGAGGTGGGAAAGCCTGGCAGCTGACGTCGCAGGACCCTAAGGAAACGCCGGGTAAGGAGGCTGCAGTCTTGGGGGGCGAGCAGCTGTGCCTGCGGAGCCCCGGCCATGGGGGGATCAGGAAAGAGCCGCCCCTCGGGGAGAGAATGGCCTTAACTTCAGTGTAGACCTGCTCCSGGGGAAGGCAGGGAGAGCTGGGGGGGCGGGGTTAAAGTGGCTTTAACTAAGTGGATTATAATAACACCAATCTAGGTTAAATGAAAATCTCAGTCGTAAATTCCAGTTGTTAATCTGTTAAATAAGGGACTATTTTTAAAAATAACTTTATTTTATTTGTTGTTATGATTTTTTTAAATGTGGTGTCAAAATAAGGGACCATTTCTATAAAGAACTCAGCTGCTGTCCAGCACAGGGTCAGCACCCACTAAGCAAAAGCTGCTGTGTTTATAATTAAGTTCATGGTTCATGGACGGGGCAACCAGCGCTTGGTCTTCACGGAGGACCGATGAGTGACCACAGGCTAGATCTAACCCGAGGGGTCGTGGATGGAAGGCGCACTCCCAGGGCATCTACCTAGAAGCTGCCGACTTACCCAAAGACTCTTAGGGTCCAAGGCCTTTGAGCCTGGGGAGCGTCTAGGAAACGCATCAACCTCAAGGTTAACAAAGTGCTGCGAGAGAAACTCTAACCGGGTCTATAAATAGAAGGCCTGGCTCCCGGAAGCTGTCGTCCGCAGCCCTCTGTCACAGCCGCCCACGCCAGCCCCAGCTGGGCCCACGGGCTCGCGCCCTTCCCTGCAGAGGCCCGGGAGGCTGCACCCCTGCCCTTCCCTGCAGAGGCCCCGGGAGGCTGCTCCCCTGCCTTCCCTGCAGAGACCCCGGGAGGCTGCTCCCCTGCCTTCCCTGCAGAGRCCCCGGGAGGCTGCTCCCCTGCCTTCCCTGCAGAGGCCCCGGGAGGCTGCTCCCCTGCCTTCCCTGCAGAGGCCCCGGGAGGCTGCACGCCGCCGTGCCCTTCCCTGCAGAGGCGGCTGCGGGTCTTTTAAGTCCCTCCCCCCCTCCGTGGTGACTCAGGGTCCCCTCTTGCCCACCCTGACGCGGGCGGACCGGGGCTGTCTGCAGTGCGGGCGGGAAACCATCCTGTACCTAAGCACGCTTTCGCATCTCCTTGTGGTTCTGATTTGCATTCCCCGACCACCCTGAGGCCGGCCTCCTCCCGCGCTGGGCCACTTCGTTCCTCTTTTGTGAGTGGCCACCTCTCCCAGGGCTGCCCGTGCTTTCCTGGTAGCCACAGGATCTCTGCTGTCCGTTTATGAGCTGCAGATGGTTTCTTCCGACTCTGAAGCTCGCTCTTTCTTGGTCTACAGCTCTCAGGCCATCACCCACACCTTAAAGGACTGTCCCCACCCCACCCAAAGGGACAGCAGAGTTCTTTCTAAGATACTTTTCAGAAGTATTTGGAATTGGGGTGCAATGGGACCACGCCCACTGGGAGACAGGGGGTGGCTTCTGGGTTCCCCGCCTGGGTGTCTCAGGCAGAAAGAAAACCCACAAAACTCATTGCCGGGTTGTTCCTCGAGGCTCTGAGATTCTTGGCCATTCCACCCGCTTCTTTCCACTTTCCAGTATCATCTCATGTTTGTTTTATATGTAAGTCCAGAATTTTCTGCGGGACTCAGTAGCAAGGATATGGAGAAGCATGTCCCCCCACACCTGCCTGAAGTGCATCTCCAGCGCCATTTTTGAGTTAATCTTTGATACAATTTCCCTGGCATTTCTGAAGGTCTTGACAGTTTTTGTTGCCTTTTAGGGATAGTGTGGTTGTCTGTTTTTTTTTTTTTAAGAGTAACAAGCATGTGAAATTGGGATAGGCCTTGAGCCTTGTCAGGTCTGGGGAAATACCTGCTTAGGATTTGAGTTTCTCAGCAGTAACACAAACACTTCAAGGGAACTTGCAGAAGGAGATCCAGAAGCCGGACACAGGTCGGTTCTTTGGTTACCACTGGGTGGAAGTGGTGGAGATGTCTTTAAAGTAGTCAGCACAGGATTTCATTCAAGAGAAATTGTCTAATATCTAAACAAGTAACCCCAAGACTAAAGTATATACTGCTAAATTGAAACCAGAGCTGTGCCTGGGAGACGGCTGATATTTTATGCTTACAGTCACTCACGCATAGGACTTTTTTAGTTATTGTAGAAAATAAAGAAAATAGTTTTAAAAGACCAATAAAATATTTGGGAAAAGGAAATAAATCTTCAATCATCTCCAGGAAAAGCTCATACTCACTGTTACTCTGAAATAAGTCAGCTGAAATTAAAGTTGAGAATATTTGCTGCTTAGAAATGTTCTACGACTGTGATTTGTGGAAAATAAGCATTATGTGATTTAGACCACAAACATGAGTGTCTTTTAAATCGTTTTCTAGCATTTATTAAACCAGTACAAACTGCCCAAGAGGAAGACGCCTGTAGTTGCCGGTTTCCAGAAGAAGAAGAAGGAGGGTGCGAACTGTGAAGTGAAATCCCAAGAGCTGTCGGAACTCGCCGGAAAGAAGCCAGAGAAATTGAGTGATCTCACTGTCATGTCCTTTTAGATTGAAAAGTGTCACACTAGAAAGCACCCAGCATTGCCCCTGATGAGTCTTCTCTGATGCTAATGAGTTGGCCTTTACAAAGGTTCCACTCTTAACAGAAGCAGGGGGCAGCGTTGGTGGTGAATGTAAGATGCTACTTAACAGGACTCCGCTAGGTTTTTGAAACCCATAAAAAAAAGATAGTCTTAAGTCAATCCCATCAGGGGCTGGGGATGGAGCTCAGTGCTGAGCGTGTGTAAGGACCTGGGTTCAATCCCCAGCCCCACAAACAAACAAACAAACAGAAACAGAGATTTCAATTCAGTCACATGGGCAGTGGTCCAGCCAAAATTACCATCAAAACCAATGCAGGTTTTTTTTGTGTGTGCTAAGGGACATGTGACCATAAGCCGAAGAATAAGCAGTAGATAKTCCCTACCAGATTTTCCATTACCGTCATTAACACAGTGATGTCCTCCACTGTCAGCAATGATGAGAGCCCCTAAGTTTGGGGTCGAAGGAGACATCACAGAATTTAAATATTTTTGCCTGGGCTGGGGTCCTCTTCATACCCTCACCTTCTGCCGTTGTCCCTCTGAGCCGTTACATTAATCAATGGGGCGTGCCTGAAAAGCATGAAGTTCAAGGGAAGAGGAGCCCCTGGGCACTCAACCCAGCCCAAGCACTAGTGCAGGGCACCAAGCTCCCACGGCCTCCTCTGGCCACCATTTGCCTTTGTATGGCTTATGAGTCAGGATGGTTTTCGCATTCTTAAGTGGTTAAAAATAAGAGTGATATCTCATGGCACATAGAATTATTGGAAACTCAGATTTCATAGCCCATAAATAAAATTTTATGGGCACCCAGCTACCTCCACACACCTGKTCAAAAGCCACCTTTGCACGACAGTGTGGCAGAGTAGAGGACTTGTGTCAGAGGCTGTAGAGTTCCACAATGTCTAAAAATTTGATATCTGACCCTTTGTAGGGTCAAAGTCAAGGTCAGCGGATCCATCAGAATGCAACCTCCCTCCTCATCTTCTGCCCACTCCCAGGCAACCTCTCTAGAAAATCTGGAATCTTTTTCTTGCTTCAAAAAAATCATTTAKTATTTAATTTTGTGTCCTAAAACTGTTGTTTAGCTGTGTTTATTTTTGAGCTTTGTGAAAATGATACTGTGCTGTATGGAGACATACATGTGAGTTGCTGTAATCATTCCAAATTATATTTATAAGACTTATGTGTGTTGTCATGTGCATTCATTTGGCAAAGATGGTACACCACAGTTTACCAATCCATCCTCTGCCAAGTTATGTTTGGGCTGTTTCAGGTTCTTTGCAGTCACCAAAAATGTTGCCATGAATGTTCTTTTGGGTAGCAGTGTCTCTAGGGAAACTTCCTGAAGGTGGAGTTGCTGGATCTTAGGGCATGTAACAGTTAGGACCTGCTAGGTTATGCAGAAGTAACAAAAGACACCCCACCACCAATCTTAATGGATTGCAACCAAAGAACAAAGGTACATTTTTTTATTGTCACTGCGTGCCCACAATGGCTGGGGCTCTGTCTTATGTTATTTCACTCCAGGATTTGGGTGCAGGGAGCTCCTTCTTGGAACATGGGCCATCTTAAGGGAAAGGGATACACGTCACTTTCACTCATCTTTAGTTGGTTAGACACTAACTAATCTGCTAGGGATTGACAGACAGAAAATCCTGAACTTTACACAGGGAGGGGCTAGTGCTTCCAAGGGGGCAGCCGTGTCCTCCACGTACTCTAGTTCACACGGCTGAGTCACTGCGTGTCCTGCTGATCTGCATCCTTCTGACCCGTGCTATCAACTCCCTGAGTTCTGCCAACTTAGTGGCATTTCACTGTGGCTTTCTTTGGCATTTTTTCAATTACTAATGGGTACTTTGTCACATGGTCATATACCGCTGAGTTTTTAATGAAATGCTTACTCATGCTTTTGGTCTATTTTTTAAAATTTGGTTGTCTGTCTTATTGATTCACAGAATTTTCTTATATATTCTAGAGAATAATCTCTGGTCGGTTATATATATGATAAATATCTCCTTTGTGATTTTTTTTTCTTTTTAATGGCATCTTTCTTTGACTTTCTGCTAATCAGCCACAAAGCTCTCCATTCAATTTGATTAAAGCTATCTTTCTCTTCTTATACGGTTCACATTTGGTTGCTGTTGCTGCCTGATCAAAGAAGTTCTTTCAAATAATGTCATAAAGATAGCTGTTCACGGGGAGGGGAGAAGTAGGGGGGATAGGAAGGCAGCAGAATAGACATTATGATTGCTGTGTGTATAGGTGACTCTATGACCAGTGTGATTCTGTACAATCAGAAAAATGAGAAATCATACCCCAATGATTCAAATGTATGAATTGCCAAGATCATTGTCATGTCATGTGTAGCTAATAAAAAAATTTTTAAAAAAGTAAGAGGGAGAAACCAAACAAAAAAGATAGCCGTTCACATCTCAGTCCCAGAGCTTTGGTCTTTCCTGTTGTCGTCCAACCTGTCAGGAACTGATTTTTGTGCCTGTGGGATCAGGGATGACGGGACCATTCACTCGGTGCTCCATCTGTGCCCTGCAGATCTGCAAGGCCACCTCTGCCCTCCATCAAGGGTCCATTGGCCACAGGCCTGCTGCCGGGCTGTTATGTCCCACTGTCACTTTGGATTTCCTGCACTGATGCCACACTGTCTCATTTCAGTGGCTTTGTGATGGTCTTGGTATCTGCTTCAAGAATGTTGAGGCTATTTTTAACCCTTCATTCTTCTCTATAAATTTTAGAAACTGAATTCCAAAAAATTTCCATTGAGACTTCTCTTTCTTTCTTTTTTCTTTTTCTTTTTGGTTGTGCCAGGGATGGAACCCAGGGGCTCTTGCAGGCTTGACCAGAGCTCTGCCCCTGAGCTGCACCCCATCCCTTGAAGGAAACTTCACTATAGACAGATCATTCTAGGGAGGGCTCGTATTTTCTCCAGGAGGAGGTGATTGACGAGGGGGGGGGTTCTGAGAAGAGCACCTGACGCAGCAGGTGCTGTGCCCATGCTGGATCTTCCCATCCATAAGAGTCACACTGCTGTCCTCCACCTCGTTGAGGCGTCAGTGTCCTTCAGAAAAGTTTTAAACAATGTCTCCAGAAATGTTTCCTGCATCTTCCACTCCCAAATAAACACTTCCAAATAAACTATTTCTGGGGGTTTGCTCTATTGTCACTGGTAGAATGGTTTTGCTTGTTGTGAACTGTAGGGGTGAAGGGAGCCTGTTCGTCTTCCTTGTAGACAGCGTCTTTGCCAAACTTTCCTATTATTTCTGATAACGTGTAGTGGATTATTTTGACTGTTTACACCATCATGTTATCTACGATAATAATAGTTTCTTCCTTTTGGGTGTGTGTAGGACTAGGTGCTCTACCACTAATGTACACCCTTATTATTAGACAGTGTCTTGCTAAGTTGCTGAGGCTGGCCTTGAATCTGCAATCCTCCTGCCTCAGCCTCCCAAGTTGCTGAGATTACAGGTGTGAACCACCATGCTTGGCTACTTTCTTCCTTTTCTAGTTCTTTCTTATGCTTGTCTTCCTGCTAAAATACAACGTGATAGTATGATTTTTATTCTCTTATACTACTTTCAGTTTTGGGCTTCCTTTCTTTCTTTCTTTTCTTTTTCTTTCTTTTTTTTTTTTTTTTCGTAAAACATGCTTGATCAAATAAGGAAGTTCCCTTCTATTCCTGGTTTGTGATGATGATTTGATTTATTTTTCACACTTTTGTTTTATTTGTCTGTGTTTTGAGATAGGGTCTTGTTCTCTTGCCCAGGATGGCTTTGAACTCCTGTGCTCAAGTGATGCTTCTCTTCCTGCCTCAGTCTCCTGAGTAGCTGGGACAACAGCAGTGCCCCTCTCTCTGGGCCGGGTGCCCAGCAACTCTGTAAATTCTACATGGTTTTTACCTTGGCTTTGGGCACAAGATATCTCATTCTCTGTGGCTTACCATGAAAGTTCAGAAGGAACCGGTCATCCCCTCTGATGTAAGGCATTCAAAATGACGTCACAAACTCCTACTTGTCCCAGAGAATAAACCCCAAAAATCCCCAGCGTGCTCTGCCTATCTGATGGACTCTGCTTATTACAAGGGCYGTGTGATCTCTTTATCATAGGATATTTTGGTATAATGTGTAAAAGTCACAAATGAAAAACACAGGAACTTGGAGTGTGAATCATCTTTTCCCCTAAATGATAGTTAACAAATAAGGAAAATCAAAACAGGATAAAATGATCCTGTTTGGGGATTAATTTGGGAAACTCAACTGTTCAGCTTAATAGAAATAAATGTAAATATCTATGATCAAAATAAATTAACATAGGAATATGTAAGTTTAAAACAGTTTTCAAGTGCCCCCAAACCAGTCTAGGTTATTTTTGAAACAGATTTTGATTTTATTCTTAGTGGAAGATATCACTCTGGTGGAAACTCTAGATATGAGGGGGCCTGGCTGCACAGGGTGCCTCCTCCCTGTGCGKGCAGACTTTCCATTCGTGGGTAGCTGAGGCCGCGTGAGGGCCGKCAGTGGAGGCTGGTGTGATCTGTGTGGCGGGGCCAGAAAGGGGTCACTAAGGGCTTTTAAAAAGGGCTCTGAAATAAACTCAATAAATAACTCTATCATCTTCATAGAAAAAAGACAGCTTATTCTTAAAACTTTATGTTACTATTGCAACATCAGATCATAAAGGCTAATCACCCTTGAACTGGTGTCTACGGAGTGTCTGCCYTGCCCCAGGAACCGTGTTAAGACACAAAGGCACAGGGACTTCCTGACAAGGGGCCAGGCAACGTCAACCTGAGCAGAGCCGCACTGGGGAAGAGTTTCTTCCCTGGACACAACATAACTGAGGACCTACTGTGTGCCAGGAAGAGGATGCAAGCTGCCCTCCTGTGCTTACGGGCTGGTCCAGGTGGTACCGCCGCTCACCCCTGTGTGCCTGGAGGGGCGGCTGTCCCAGGCTAGAGGGTGGGGAGGGAGTGCTTCCTGGGAGGCTGAGGGGAGGACGTGCTGGGCAGGGGCTCCCAGAAGGAGCCAAGGGCCAAGCAAGAGGGAGAAGGCTGGGGCTGGGGCGCGAGAAGAGAAGAAGGAAGTGGCGGCTGGAGAGGGAGTGGTATGCAGGTTTTCTAAGTCAAGCTGAGCAACTTGGATCTCACCCTGTGGACACAGGGGAGCCCGAGGAGGGGTGGCTCAGGCCGGCGTTGTGGAAGAAGTTAGAGGCAAGCCCAGGTCTGCAGCGGGTGAGGAGGCTGCCCAGGAACCCAGGGCGGGGCGGCAGCCTGAGGACCCAGTGGGAGCTGGGCAAGCCTCATCTGGGGGCTGGGGGCAACACCCTGGTTTCCGGTTCAGGCATCTGGGAGGACAGAGGACCCTTAGCAGAGCCACAGAGCCCTGGACGGGGAGCACGGGGGTCGGGAGAGCTGGCTAGCGGCAGCACTGGACTCCGGGTTTCCCCAGCGGAGGGCATGTGAGCCACAGCAGAGCCAGGAGGACACCACATGCAGGCTGGGGACGGGAGCAGCATCCCAGTGCCCCTGGCAGGGTCTCTGGGCTCCAGCAGATGAGCGTGGCCACAGGACAGCCAAAGGCTGGGAAGAGTCTGGAGCAGTGACCTCAGAGTGTGCACTGGCTTCAGCCACAAAGCGGTGGCTTGGAAGGGTCCTGAGAAGTGCCAACCTGGAGAGCCAGACTTCTGTGACCCAGAAGCCCACAAGGAGCCCCCTGGGAGGTGACAGGGTGGTGAGAGTGAGTGTCCTCATACCTTTCAAAAGCTGTGAGTGACAGAGATGGGGAGGGAATGAGAGGACCGTGTGGGGTCTCAGGCAGGGTCATCAGATGGGTGCAGTCACCAGTGAAAGCTGAGCTTCAGATGAACGAGGAATCATTTCTCCGTGTAAGTGCGTCCTGTGCGACACGGAGGACAGCTTCTACTAAGAAGTGTTTATCTGAAATCCAAATGYAACCGCACACCCTGCATTCTTATTTGCTAAATGTGGTGAACCCAGTTGAAGGGAGTCTTGGGTTCTCTTAACGGGGAGGTTTGAAGAAGGCTGAACGCAGATATTATGGGGGGTCCAGGCGCAAGGAGGGGGCGGCTGCTGAGAGGACGACAG